GGAGGGGATTGTAACCATGGCAATGAAAACGATGTACAACGGAATGAATGTAAAACTAATGTTCTCCCATGTAAACTATCATATAATTCACAATAAAACACTAAAAAATAAAATAAGTATTCCCCTTGAGAACAGGAACAAGATTAATATGTTCATAATCATCACTTTTATTCAATATTGTCCTGGAAGTCCTAGGCAAAGCAATAAGGTAAGAAAGGAAAATAAAGGGCATCCATATTGGTAAAGAAGAAGTAAAATTATCTTTACTCATAGATGACATGGTTCTATACATAGAAAATCTCACAGATTCCACAAGAAAGTAATAGGAACTTTATAAGGGTTTAGCAACGTATTAGCATACAAGATCAGCACACTGCTGTTTCCATGAATGTTGATAGTGGATCCAAGCAAAATGAAGTCCTAGACAACTTCAATCCAAACAAATAACATGTATCACAATGTTATTTATTGTTCCAGTGGTGAGGATTTTTCTTTTCTTTACATTGAAATACAACCCATACTGAAGGCTGTGGTCTTTGATGTTCATTAGTAAATATTTTAAGTCCTCTTCCCTTTCAGCAAGCGAGGTTGTATCATCTACATATCATAGGTTTTTAATGAGTCTGAATCCAATCCTGATTCTTCTTCATATAACCCAGTTCCTCAGATTACTGATTGAATAAGTAACAAGGAAAGCTCCAAAAAAGTAAATCAAGAAAACAATATCATTTACAATTTGCCCCCAAAAGGATAAAATACCCAAGAGTAAATCTAACCAGAGATGTAAAAGACTTATGTAAGGAAAGCTACAAAGCACTACTGCAAAAAAAAAGAAGAAGAAGAAGAAGAAGAAATAGAGAGAGAGAAAGACCTACATAAATGGAAAAACATACCAGGCTCATGGATTAGAAGACTTAATACTGTGAAAATGTCAATAGTATATAAAGCAATCTATAGATATAATGTAATTCTGATCCAAATCCCAACAACATTTTTTAATAAAATAAAAAACTCATTTCCAACTAAAGCATTATTGAAGAAGAACAACAAGGTAGGGGTGCCTCACACTTCCCAGTCTTCCCAATCTCAGATGTTACTATACAGCCATGATCATCTAAACAGGCTGCTGTTGATACAATGTTAGGCACTTAGAGCAATGGAACAGAATTAAGAACCCCAAAGTCAATCCATTCAGCTATGGACAGCTGATCTTTGATAAAGGGATAAGGACCATTCAATAGGGAAAAGATAGTCTCTTTAACAAATGGTGCTGGTAAAACTGGATGTCGTTTCCAAAAACATACCTCACACCATATGTATAAACTAACTCAAAATGGATCAGGGCGTGGTTGCAGGAGAGACCGCAGCGGGGAAAATGGCGGACGGGAAGGTGGGAGAGATAAAACCCGAGAATCCACAACGAGCTGGAGCCTCCGGAGTAATGGAGGTGAAAGTTCCAGTCGCAACGCGGAGAAGCAATCAGCTGAAGAAGAAGCTGAAGACTTCCCAACAAAGCCTACAAAGATCTCCAAGTTTGGATTTGCCATAGGTAGTCAGATGACAAAGAAAGCATCAGCCATATCCATCAAACTTGGATCAAGTAAGCCTAAAGAAACAGTTCCAACTCTTGCTCCAAAAACCCTTTCAGTAGCAGCAGCTTTTAATGAAGATGAAGATAGTGAACCAGAGGAAATGCCTCCAGAAGCGAAAATGAGGATGAAAAATATTGGAAGGGATACACCAACATCAGCAGGACCAAACTCCTTCAACAAAGGAAAGCATGGGTTTTCTGATAACCAGAAGCTATGGGAGCGAAATATAAAATCTCATCTTGGAAATGTTCATGACCAAGACAATTAAATGATGTGTTTTATGATTTGGGGTGTGGAGTGGGTGTAAAGTTAAATGGAACAGTTTCCTTTTTTTAAAGAATGGCGTAAGACTATCTTTGGAGTTGCTTTTTTTTCTTTCTTTCTTTCTTTTCTTTCTTAAAGATGGAGTGGTACACTAATAAATGAGAGTTTGAAATTTTTAAAAAAATGGATCAAAGATCTAAATGTTAAACCTTAAACTATAAGGTTCCTGGAAGATAACAAATGGACAAATCTAGGGTTCCTAATTTATGTTATAAATACATAATCAAAGATAAATACAAATGCAAAAACAGTAGTTAATAAACTAGATACTTGGAATCATCTCAAAATTAAATATTTATGCTCATCAAAAAAGTACCAAAAGAGTACAAAAAAACTGGGGGGAAAGTTTGGCAATAACATATTTGGTAAGAATCTAATCTATAAAATATATAGAACACTTCAATACTTCAACAACACGAAAATAAGCACTCCAATCAAAGAATGGGCACAAGATATGAGCAGACACTTCACTAACAAAGACATTCCGGTGACTCACAACACATTAAGAGTCTCACAATTATTTACCACTTTGTTGCTATTATATGGCATTGAATCAGTTCCAACTCATATTGACTCTATATAAGGTTTCTGAGAACAACTGGTGGATTTGAACATCTGACCTTGCAGTTAGCAGTCCAATGCTTATCCTATGGTGCCCCACCAGAACTCTACCACTACAGAGATGCAAATCAAAACTATAATGAGATACAATCTCACACCTGCAAAAATGGCACTGGTTTATAAGTAAATAAATAAAACAAATGCTGGTAAGAATGGAACTCATCCTCTGCTAGTAGGATAGAAGTAAAAGGATAATGGTATTGTGCTTCCTCAAAAAAAGCTAGAAATAGGAGGTGTGGCACTGCGGGCTAATGCACTGGACTGCAAGGTCTGTTTGAACTGCAAGGTCCATGGCTCAAGCTCACCAGTCAGTCCTCAGAAACCCTGTACAGGGTCTCTAGGAGTCAGAACCAACATGACAGCACTTCACAACAACAAGATCTGCCAATCCCATTGTTGTCGTCAGGTGCCATCGAGTCGGAACCGACTCATAGAGACCCCATGCACAGCAGAACGAAACAATGCTCGATCCTGGGCCAACCTCACCACCACTGCCACCCCCGAGTCCATCAATAATGCCACCTGGCTGATCCATCTCGTTGGGGGTCTTCCTCTTTTTCTCTGACCCTACACCTTACCCAGCATGACATCCTTCTCCAACGATTGTTTCCTCCGGACAATATGTCCAAAGTAGGAGAGACGAAGCTTAGCCATCCTGGCCTCCAAGGAGCACTCTGGCTGCACTTCTTCCAAAACAGATCTATTGGTTCTTTTGGCAGTCCATGGCACTTTCAGTATTCTCCTCCAACACCACAACTCAAAGGCATCAATTCTTCTACGATCTTCCTTATTCACTGTCCAGTTTTCGCATCCATATGAGGCTATTGAAAACACAATGGCCTGGGTCAGGCGCACCTTAGTCCTCAAGCTGACATTTCTGCTCTTCAATACTTTAAAAAGATCCTGTGCAGCAGATTTGCCCAGTGCAATACGTCGTCTGATCTCTTGACTGCTGCTTCCGTGAGTGTTAATAGTTGATCCAAGAAGAATGAAGTCCTTGACAACTTCAATCTTTTCTCCATTGATAAGAATGTTGTTTATTGGTCCAGTGGTGAGGATTTTTGTTTTCTTGACATTGAGATGTAATCCATATCGAAGGCTGTGCTCTTTGATCTTCATAAGTAAATGTTTAAAGTCCTCTTCACTTTCAGTGATCAAGGTTGTATCATCTGCATATCGCAGGCTGTTAATGAGTCTTCCTCCAATCCTGATGCCACGTTTTTCTTCATAGAACCCAGCTTCTCATATTATTTGCTCAGCATACAGGTTGAATAAGTATGGTGAAAGAATACAACCCTGTCTCATACCTTTCCCAATTTTAAAACATTCAGTTTTCCCATGTCTAGGCATATATTCTAGAAAACTCGAAGCAGTGACATACATAGACATACACACACCAATGCTTATCATACCTGTGGTGCCTTGAATTTACTTGATGTGGTTTGTCTATCCAAAGTCTTCTAAAATCCCACCAAATGATTGGGTGGAACCAGGCAAACAAAGAATGCAGAACTCTAAGAATGGGATTGGTCAGTATTACACACCAGCTAGGAGCCATCTGAGAAGCAGAGACAGAAGATCCCAGGACCATCAAAAACGAAGAGCATGATTGGCACATGAGACCTCTACCTAGATGGAGAAACAGCGACTACAGAGGCGACAGCAGAGGTGACCGCAGAGGTGGTAGCATAGAGAGACAGAGCAACTTCAGGCTCTAAGCCTATAAACTGAGTAAAACTGAGCATGTACGGGCAGGAGACGGGCTTGAAGGTATGCCCTTTGGGCATTAACAAACTGGATAAAAGAACTTTGCAACAAATGCTGGAGCAGGGCAGAGGACAAGGGACCACATGGCCAAGAGACCGAAGACAAGAGTGAGGCATGCCTGAAGTATGGCAGAGAAGAGGCCTTCCTGCCTGGAGAACTGTTGCCTCCTGAGTTGATTTTGATCCCGAATTGTACCGTGTGCACTTCTCTAATGAACTTCATAATCATGAGTATTGTTATGAGTTCTGTGTGGCTATTGCAATGGATTATCAAACCCAGATATGAAGCCGAGAATGCTGTGGGAGAGATGGTTGGTGTCAGAATAGGGTAAAGATGGTTGTAAAGTGGCAGCATCTCTGAACTCTGCCTCAGAATTGTTTAATTTGATTCTCTTTCTCCCCTGAGAAGCCAGGGGAGGTCAGATATGGTTCCCACATAGTTTTTGCAACACCGTTATTCACAACAGCAAAAAGATGGAAACAGCCTGAGTGATCATAATGGATAAACAAAATATGGTATATAAGTATAATGGAATACTATGCAATAATATTAATGCACCAGACCACAAAGCCATTTGAACTGCAAGGTCAGAACTACAAGGTCGCTATTGGTCAGAACTGACTCGATGGTACTTAACAACAACAACAACATGCAAGAATAAACAATAAAGACGAGTCCATGAATAATAACAAGAGTGAATTTGGAGGACATTATACTGAGTGTAGTCCTGGTATGGTGCTGCATGATAATGAAAGAGACCAAATGGTTGGTTTGAACCACAAGGTAAGTGGTTCAAACTCACCAGTCGTTCCTCCGAAACCCGGTACAGGCTCACTATGAGTTGGAACCAACTTGACAGCACTTAATAACAACAACAACAACATACTGAGTAAAATAAGTCAGTTACAAAAAAAAAAAAAAAATTATAATATGTATCAAGAGTAGGTGATGACCCTACCTACTCTTGATACATATTATAAAGCGTAGTGGTTACGAATCGGGCTGCGAACCTTAAGGTCTGTGGTTCGAAACTACCAGGCGCTCCGCGGGAGAAAGATGAGGCTTTCTACTCCCGTAAAGATTTACACCCTCGGAAACCCTGTACAGGGTCGCTATGGGTCGGAACCGACTCGATGGCACTTCACAACAACAACAACATCAAGAGTAGGTATACACAAAAAAAAATTTTTTTATTTGAGAGTTACCAGGAATGGGAGGGGTGTTGTTGTTGTTATTAAGTGCCGTTGAGTCGGTTCTGATGCACAGCAACCCTGAACAGGGTTTCCAAGGCTGTAAATCTTTATGGGAGCAAAAAGCCTCATCTTTCTCCCATGGAGTAGCTGGTAGTTTCAAACTGCTGACCTTGCAGTTCACAGCCCAATTCATAACCTCTACACTACCAGAGCTCTTAGTGAGGAGGAATCACTTACTAGATAGTTGTTGTTAAGTGCTGTCCGGTTGGTTACAATTCATAGCAACCCTGTATAAGGTTTCCAAAGAGCCGCTGGTGGGTTTGAACCGCTAACATTACAGTTAGCAGTTCAGTGCTTATCCTACAGCACCACACCAGGACTTGACAGTTCTTGTTGTCAGGTGCCATGGAGTCGGAACCGACTCATTGCGACCCCATGCACAGCAGAATGAAACAATGCCCGATCCAGGGCCAACCTCACTAGCGCTGCTATACTTGACACCATCAATGATGCCAACTGGCTGATCCATCTCATTGGGGGTCTTCCTCTTTCTCTCTGACCCTCCATCTTACCCAGCATGACATCCTTCTCCAGCAACAGTTCCCTCCTGAAAATATGTCCAAAGTATGAGAGACGAAGCGTAGCCATCCTGGCCTCCAAGGAGCACTCTGGTTGCACTTCTTCCAAAACAGATCCATTGGTTCTTTTAGCAGTCCATGGTAGTTTTCGTATTCTCCTCCGACACCACAATTCAAAGGCATCAGTTCTTCTATGATCTTCCTTATTCAATGTCCAGCTTTCACATCCATATGAGGTTATTGAAAATACCATGGCTTGGGTCAGTCGCACCTTAGTCCTCAAGCTGACATCTCTGCTCTTCAACACTTTAAAAAATTCCTGTGCAGCAGATTTGCCTAATGCAATACCATGTCTGATCTCTTGAATACTGCTTCCACGAGTGTTGATAGTTGATCCAAGAAGAATGAGGTCCATGACAACTTCAATCTTTTCTCCATTGATAAGAATGTTGTTTATTGGTAAAGTGGTGAGGATTTTTGTTTTCCTGACATTGAGATTCAACCCATACCGATGGCTGTGCTCTTTGATCTTCACCAGTAAATGTTTCAAGTCCTCTTC